TGCTTGTGTTAGAGTCTCTCTAGGCGCTTCCCTCACAGGCTTGGTTGAAGAATTGAAGGAGAGGAGGTAGGGCTGGACCAAGATGAAAAAGGATGGAAAGGGGCAACTCCTATTAGTAGACGTAGATATTTTAAGAGCCAGAGTAGGGGCCCTTGTAGACAATGGGGCCACCAGAAGTTACATCAATCGTAAGGCGCTGAAGAAGTTGAGGCTAGGCCTCAAGGTCCAAAAGCTAGAAGAGTCTGTAGTCGGTATCCTCATAGACAACCACACAATGTGGGTCGAGGAATACGTAGACAACCACACAATGCGGGTCGAGGAATACGTAGAGGGAGTCCAAGCGTACTTTCACCTAGAGCAAGAAGGGAAGGTAGAGAAAGTCCTTCACTCCCCGACTCTCCTCGTAGAAGAGAACCTCCCTTTCGACATAGTACTTGGTACTGATTGGCGTGAGGCAGCCGGGGCCACATTGCACCTTTTAGAGCATGAGTGCAGGCTCCCTAGTCCTGCAGGTGGGATTAAGAAAGCTCACGTGTTCCATGCGTCAGGAGTCGATAACTCCCTAGCGCATTGCTGCCTGCATTTGCAATTATTAAGAAGGAGCAGCTTGAGGAACATGTCTTTGTAGCTTATGTTAAGCCAGTTTTTGATCAGCCAAAGGAGGAGGAAGAGATCCATCCCACTATCGCCTGTTTGCTGAAAGCGTGCAAAGATTTATCGAAGGCACCTTCAAGAGTGGTGCCAAGACCCATTCAACACCGCATAGAGATAGAGCTTGGCAGTAAAACAACCAAGGGAACAATCTACAAAATGTCTCCCAAGAAGTTAGAGGAGTTGCGCAAGCAATTAGATGACCTCCTCGAAAAAGGATTGATTAGACCCAGTTCGTCTCCTTTTGGCACATCTGTTTTGTTCGTCCCCAAGAAAGAGGGAGAGCTAAGAATGTGTATAGACTATAGGAGTCGGAATGCCATAACTGTCAAAAATGCAGAACCATTGCCCCACATAGATGAGTTGTTGGATCGGGTGCAAGGCTGTAAGTACTTCACAAAGATAGATTTGAAGTCATGGTACCATCAGATAGAGGTATATCCTAATGATCAATACAAGACGACGTTCCGAACAAGATACGGGCATTATGAGTTTATAGTGATGCCCTTTGGACTGACTAATGCACCAGCCACATTTCAGCGCTGCATGAACGACTTGTTTAGGTCGTGGCTAGATAGATTCATAGTGGTGTACGTAGATGATATTCTAGTTTTCAGTAAGACCCTCCAAGAACATGAGGGTGATCTGAGGCATATCTTGGAGAAGTTGAGAGAAGCTAACTCCAAGATCAACGCGAAAAAGTGCGAGTGGGCCAAGACATAAGTTTTTTACTTGGGCCACGTAGTAGATGGAGATGGCATTAGACCAGAGGACGACAAGATAGCAACAATTAGAGATTGGCCAACTCCTCGTACTCTGACTGAGTTGCGATCATTCTTAGGATTGGCCAACTGTTATAGGAAGTTTGTGAGGAACTTCTCCACTATCGCTGCTCCCCTTCGCCGGCTCCTAAAAAAGGAAGCAATCTGGAAGTGGGATCGAGATTGCACCTCGACCTTAAGGAAACTGAAGAAGGCCTTGGTAGAGTACCCCATCCTCAAAGTAGTCGATCCTTCATTGCCTTTTGTCATCACTCCACACGCAAGTTAGTATGGCATAGGTGTTGTGTCACAACAAGACAACGACAACGGCTATAGACCCGTAGAGTTCATATCAGCTAGGTTGCCCTCAGAAAAAGTAGCAGCCTTGACATACGAGAGAGAACCCTATGCTCTTAGGCAAGCCTTAGACCATTGAAGGCATTACCTGCTCGGGAGGCACTTCAAAGTTTACTCAGACCACGGAACTCTGAGATGGCTGAAGACGCAAACCAAAATGATGCCCAAGTTGGCTAGGTGGGCAGCTGAAATAGCTTCAAGCTTAAGCCCGTTAAAGGTAAGTACAACGTGGTAGTCAACGCTCTGAGGAGAAGGACATATTATTTTGGAGTGATAGTGCGCTATCTAGATATAGGGGCGGACCTGCAGCAAAATTTAAAGGATGCATATGCTCAGGATTCAATCTATAGCGATCTGCTAAAGAGAATAAAGAAAACCCTTGACAGTGAACCGAATTATCGCACCACAAATGGGCTACTCTTTGAGAAGACCAATGTCGTTGATAGGCTGCGCATCCCCAATAGTGAAGAGATCCGTAGTTTGATCCTAGGGGAATGCCATGATACAAAAGGACACTTTGGCTGACAAAAGACTTTAGTCAACCTCATGATGTCATATACATGGCCTGGCATGAAGGCAAACTGCATAGAGTATATTCGCAATTGTCAAGTTTGCCCAGCGCAACAAGACAACGACACGAGCACCTTTAGGTCTTCTCAGACCCTTGCCTATCCCCGCAGGACCCAGGGAGTCCGTTTCCATTGATTTCATGGATATCAGAGTTAGGAGTAGGCATGGCAAAAGCCAAGCCATGGTCATAGTAGACCGTTTTAGCAAGTATGCAGTTTTTGTACCTTTGCCTGCATAGGCAAGGACGTACCTAGTTATAGAGAAGTTTTTCGAGTTTTGGGTAAGTGAGCATGGGATACCTTTGTCAATAGTTAGTGATCGATCCACGCGGTTTACCAGCCAGAACTGGCGAGTTCTCATGAATGTTTACGACTCTAAGCTGTTGATGTCGTCTGGTCGTCATCCAGAGACAAACGACCAGACAAAACAGATGAACACGATCTTGCAGCAGTTACTCAGGATGTATATTAGACCTGACCAAGTAAACTGGGATGAGATGCTTCCCAAGGTAGCTAGCGCTTATAAAAATAGTGTACATCTAGCTACATGTCGAACCCCTAACGAGCTGCATAAGTCCTTTAGACCGCGTAGGCCATTTGAAGGACTGAACCAAGACCAGATTCAGAGGTTGCCTCCCGACACTAGAGAGTTTGCTATGCAGCACGAAAGGGAAGTCGCCAAGGTGATCGAAAACCTTAGAAAGGTCCAGCATTGCATGATTGAGCAAGCGAACAAACATCACAGACCCTCGCAGTTCGAGGTAGGCGATCTAGTTTGCGTCAAGTCGAAGGAATTCGCACAAGAGGAGAACATCTCCCAAAAGCTCTTGCCCGCATACAGGGGGCCGTGGCCTGTCCTAGAAGTCGAGGGTGGAGAAGACGGACCATCCTACTCAATGGAGATTTCACCACACCTCCAGACGTATCTGGTCTTCCACACATCAAAGTTGTTGCCTTATGTCACCAGTCAGCAGTTCCCATCGCGGAGGTCAATGGTTCCGCCCGATATGGATGGCACATATGATATAGACCGAATACTAGAAGAAGATGTGTTCAGGACTGGAGGTAGAGGTCGTCCACAGAAGCAATACAAAGTTAGGTTTGCTTACCAAGAACCCTGTGGGTGACAGATGGTTCACAAGAACCGAACTTCTAGAAACCGCTCCCGACATAGTTCATGCCTATGAGAGAGCAAGGAAAGGTGAAGGTCCTGTGTTGGGATAGAAAGTTCTCGGAGGACCTCAAATTTAGGACGGTGTGAAAGGGTTTCGCCCAGTTCGCGCGACAATTGCAGATCCCAGGGCTCGATCCGTAGACCTACCCCGTGCCCTTGTACAGTTGCCCGACATCCCTGTGTGCCTTGAACCCGTGACCTGTCCCCTAGAACGTATGTTTGGGTTTTCGTGTGTGTAGTTGGGTCGCGTGGACTTGAATCGTAGACCATAATGTTAGCAGTCCTAGGGTCAGTCCGTAGGTTAGCCCTAAGCATAGCGAAGGGTCAGTCAAACGTAGTCTAGGAAGTTCTAGAAGTTGCTACTTGGAGTCCAGCGTCCGTAGCTGAGTCAGCAAGGGAGAGTCCAGTCCCAGTCTCAGTCCCAGTCCACATTGTCTAGTCAGCAAGTACCAGGTGGGCTGCACACTCCTTGGGCCTGGGACCAAAGGCAGGCCAGGCCACCGACAAAACAGTGTAAACAAAGAGGCAGCGCCAAGCCATTCATTCATTCACCTGTGAGCCATGCGGAAGCACTGCTTATGCGACTTGTGCGTTGGAGGTCTGCAGGTGCCCAACGAAGAAGAGGGCGAGCGGTCATAGCCGCTAGTGGAGGAGGAAGACGACGGCGGCCATAGCCGCCCAGTTGCCGACGTCAACAGATAGAGTGTTGTGTGTGTGTGTGCGTGGACATTCAGGGTAGATCCTATGCGTGTGTGCATGTCTGTGAGTTGTGTGAGAGTGTCTGATGGTGGAGAGTGTTCGAGGGGGAATTCAGGCTAGCGCTCAACGGCCATAGCCGCTAGATGTGACAAGTTGACGTAAGCTGAGTTCCTGGCCTAAGGCCATATTTCTGAGTTTTCTGTGTGGGCGCAGTGCGCCATCACAAGTTTGTTGCTGTTTCTGTGTTGACGAAGTTGTGTTGCCATCGGCACCTACATCTATGCATATTGCAAGTGAAATTGAGACAAGTCTGATTGCACTATTGTCCAGAGACATGATTAAACTCAATGGAGGTTTGACCTTAGTGTTGACATCTGTTAAATGTTCTTTCCTTTGAATGAATGCATCCATAGGGGTCACTGTGTCTACCCTAAGCTCGCTTCGAATTGTGATCAACACTGTCATGCTAATGCCCATGCAGTAAACTCAGTGGAAAACAGAGCTTCCTCACAGCTGCATTCCTATGATCATTGAATCAGTGAAAGGTCTGACCAGGTCAAAGAGTTACTCTGGAGAATAGCGAAGGAGGGTAAGGGAGCTGCTTTCTGTCTTGTCATCTGACCTTAGTGGACAGTTTTCTTCCTGTTTTGAAGTTTTTGTCCCTTTTGTTTCTTGGACTCAGCAGATGATTTGAATATGAGTGCTGTGAGGTCCCTTATCGTGCGCAGATTTGATTCCGTCGATTTGTGTTCCTGGGGTTGCCTCATCATGCGTTATCGGAGCGAACAGGTATGAGACAACGAAAGCAGGCAACGCTGTTGCAGCACTGAAGGCTTCGTTGAAACCTCGAGCAACCGTGAAGAGAGACGGCAAGGTTATCGCTATTGATGCGGGATTACTGGTTCCTGGAGATCTCGTCATTTTGGCATCTGGTGGTGCTGTGCCAGCTGACTGTGTGGTGTGTCCTCTCCTCTTATCCTCAAGTGATTTCATGGCTTCCTCCCTCCTTTTCTCACTCCCTTGGATTGACTACAGCTTACATTCCATCTGTCTACGCCGGATGCTTTCTCCTCTTCCTCGTGCTTCTCTTTGCTAATGCTATTTCTCTTTTCCTCTTCTGCTTTCAGCTTCGTTTTCTTCATGTACTACATTTTCTGAAATCTGTCAAATTACCTCTCCTTTGAAGTCTTTTCACCATGGCTACGCCGGACCCGGAGCCGGAAATTGCCGGACATCCAACCGGACAGCCGTCTGGAACCGTTCTGGCATCCGGACTTCTGGACATTTCCAGACAGCTGGACATGCTGGGGTCTAGACAGACAATCTGGACTGTCTGGAACGTCCGGAAATGTCCGGAGAGCAAAAAAAAAAGGAAACAAATAGTAAAATGTACCATATCTAGTGTATCAATCTATATATGTTATCATTGTTATACAGTTTTATACTTAATATACTGTTATATAATATATAATATAGTATAATGTACCATACAGAGAAGGGAAAAAAACAGGAATAACACAATTCATGTAGAAGAATAGCACAATGTGTGAGGCTTTACCCTCATGGAGGACAGAATGTGCAAAAACAGAACTGCAGCACCTCGGAACACACTGCAAGACTGTCGCATACAAACACACATGCACATACAAAGTGTTACTCTCTCTCTCTCTCTCTCTCTCTCTCTCTCTCTCTCTCTCTCTCTCTCTCTCTCTCTCTCTCTCTCTCTCTCT